GTCCGGAAATTCGCGGTTCGACCTGAAGAACGACTTGGAGAGGTCGGGTCAAGGTGGGGATGGGTAGGGCATGGGACAAGAAATAAAAAGCACACTTGACCTATGGGAAGCCCCGCCCACAGTGGGCGGGGCACTCGCCGAAAGTTTGGGGTTCCGCAGAAAAATGTTCATAATTCGCTTCCGGAGCAGCTTAAAGATGGGGAAAAAAGGTTAGTAAGGAGTCGCCAGACTAACTGTGGCAGACACATCCAAAATGGGCGGGGCGTACTCAAGGTGGGCGGTGCTTCTCGCAAAATTCAGTAACCCGGTTCGCGAGAGTGTTTGGAAGTCGCAAAAACTCAGTGTAGAATGTAAATATCTGGCGAATATAGGGCACGCTCAAAGTGTGTTGAGACCCGCCCACAGTGGGCGGAGCTTGCCCTAAATCGCAGGGTATTCATTTTAAAAGTTTGTAGCTCGGTTCCAGAACACTCCAGACACCGGAAAAAAGTGGACAAAGGTCAGCAGAGGGTCGCCGGTGAGGATTGTGGGGCAAAAACATTGTGGGCGGAGCCTGCTCCGAGGTGGGCGGAGCCAGACAAAAAGGTCTGTAAAACGGTTCCAGAGCACTCCGAAGACCGGAATAAAGTGAATTCAGGTCAGCAAGGGGTCGCCGATTGAGAAATGTGGGGTATACATATTGTGGGCGGGGCCAGCCCGAGGTGGGCGGAGCCAGACGAAAATTCTCTAAAACTGTCCCAGAGCACTTCAAAGACCGGAAAAAAGCGTGGATTAAGGCCAGCACAGGGTCGCCGGTGAGGATTATGGGGCACAAAAATTGGGGGCGGGCCTGCTTCGAAGTGGGCGGAGTCAGACAAAAGATCTGCAAAACGGTCCCAGAACACTCCAGACACCGGAAAAAAAAGTGGATTAAGGTCAGCAGAGGGTCGCCGGTGAGGATTATGGGGCGCAAAAATTGGGGGCGCGCCTGCTTCGAATTGGCGCGGGTCAGACAAAAGATCTGCAAAACGGTCCCAGAGCACTCCGAAGACCGGAAAAAGTGGATTAAGGTCAGCAGAGGGTCGCCAGTGAGGATTGTGGGGCACAAAAATTGGGGCGGAGCCTGTTTCGAGGTGGGCGGAGCCAGACAAAAATTCTGCAGAACGGTTCCAGAACACTTCAGACACCGGAAAAAAGTGGATTAAGGTCAGCAGAGGGTCGCCGGTGAAGAGTGTGGGGCACAAAAATTGTGGGCGGGGTCTGCTCTGAGGTGGGCGGAGTCAGACGAAGAATCTGTAAAATAGCTCAAGAGTACTTCAGACACCGGAAAAAGTGGAGTACAGAACAAAAGGCGGATATCAGTTGAGTCTAGAAATATGTGAAAGAAATACGCGCGGCGCAGCCGGGCCGTATCAGAAGGAGCCGCGCCGGCGTCAGCCGGCGAGGCGACTGGTGATTAATAGGAGGTCACCCGTTTAATCGAAGTTGAATTACCTAGGTACTCGACATAATCTTTTTCCCACCAGAAGTTTCAAGCTGTCTCGGTATCAAGTCTGGGGAAAGGATGGAGTTGAACAGAAACTCCCGCCTCACAAAGATTACATTTTTCAGTTATTATTATTACACGGATTTTTCGTCTATTGAAATGCTTTTTCAGTCAATGATTCACCCCTATTTACTATCGATGGCGCTCGCTAGCCTCAGCGACTAAATTCTCATTGAATCAAATACTTAGGTGAAAGTCGATGAGTTACTTCCGTTTCAAGCTGTCACTATCACCGAAATGCTGTTCTCATAAGTTTTGTACAGAGACTCCATGCAAATGGTAGTTGAAGTGTGTCAGGCCCGTAAGTGCAGCGCAGGGTTTGGCAGTGCAGGTTTTCCGCTGGTAGCGACCCGCTGCAACACCATTCCGAACTCCCAGAGTAGTTGAGCAGAAGGGGTCAATGCCGGGGAGCCAATTGCGCTCCATATGTCCTGCTATAACTTCGACCTCCTCTGCCTTCATTCAACTTCCTTTATGGCAAACGGATCCCATTTCTGTCGCCTCCGCGTAGAAGACACCTACCTGGCATCCGTGCCCCTGATACGCTCGATTACACCTTGAATTACCGCTAACACGAATTTGTCACACACGGAGAATGATTATTACTCAATCTTAGCGCTAGCCATGAGACACAAGAGGATATTGCAAATGCATCAGTTATCACAGGACACCGTTTCCCTCTGTATTTTCATACTCTTCCGTACTCATTCATTTTCCTCCGCTAAAAATCGATTGCGGTAATAGTTCCTCCCTCACAAGGATGCATAGTTAATGGAAAGGTTTAACGAAGACCCATTATGCCATTGAAAAAAGGTAAAATGGGAAGAAGGTGAGCGTGTATTTCTGAGTCCTTCTCTTACAGACCCTTGTATAAAAAGTACAGTCTATAAAAAACCCTCAGTCGAAAACAAAGTTATGGAATTCCATTGCTCTTTGATCAAACGAAGTTCTTTTACATCCATAAACAACTCTGGAAGAAAGAGCTCTTATTCTGTGAATTATGATAGGCTGCCACTCCTTTTTTCAGCGAATTTATGGATGACAAATATGAGTTGACGTGGTACTTTTTCTTCAACTTAAATTACGATATCCATCTCACTCTCGCCCATTTTGGTGATTCGCCGGTTATTCGAATTCTCGCCCTACGCTGCACGCCTTCGCGCTTCTGTTCTTACCGCATGGTCGTATAATGATGGAAACCTTCCTAGCTTCAGTCAGGTCGTTTTAGACAGAATATGCAGCTCTTGTCTTCAAGGATGAGTCAATGGGTACTTGCAATTCCATACACTACAGCTACACTATCTACCAGTGTCGATCAGGGAATGAGTTTCGGATACGGATTCCCTTCCAAACCTCTGTTCCTTTTTTGCCATGTCTATCTAGTTCTTTTTTGAAAGGAGTATACTTTCCTGCGTGAAGATGACCCAACCTGTATGAATTCCGATCCTCAGATTGACGGTCTCTTCAGGAAGGTTAGGTATCTTGAAGTTTTGAAGACTGCTGATGAATCCGAGCGACATACTGCATATCTCCTTTATATGCTGCTGGCCGTTTCTATGAGGTAGTCCACTGACGCAAAGGTAACCATCACCAATCGTTTCGACCTAAACGAGCGTATTTCTAATCACTGTTGAACATTCAAAACATGAGAATCAAAAACAGCACATATGAAACGAACCTTATAGACATCGTGGGCATCTATTATTCCATCAAAAACAGTATAGAGATCGTTCAGCAGATTTACCACCTAAATTTAGCACAGGTCATTGTGTTATTCACGGAATACAGTCGTTTTTGCTACAGACACGATGCGAAGGCGTGTAAGGGCCGCTGTTTTGGCGCGGCCTATTCTCCTTTTGATGATGTTAGCGAAAAAGCGCACTTATGTGTGGAGTACAGTCCGCTGCCGCGCCAAATCCAGCTACGTGACACACCCGAGCGCCTGCTGCGAAAGCGACTGTACACTCGCGCTTGAAAGTATTCGCCAATGGTTTTCCGCTTTAACATTTTTTTCACTAGTCTGATTTGAACCCCCACAAATCCTATCCGCAGCCTCATCGTGGCGTGGGGGTGAACGGTTTGGACTGTTCCAACACCGTACCAATGCGGAGGGTGCCACGTCAGAGCCTGGCGAGCTACGCGTGGTTAAATTTCTTCTCGCCGAAACAGTATGGGCCTCATTCCCCTGAACCTGAGGGAACCACCGACAGGGCGACGTCGGCTGGGACCGCTCGGGCGAGGCTGCAAGAATCACAGGGCCAACGGAGATTTAAGTCGCCCAGGACTAGGATGACGATCTGTACTTTCAACGCACGGACGCTTGCATCGGAAGCTCACGTACGTACCTGTAATGGAGTGCATTTGGCAGCGATCTTCGTAAAAGACACGACGTCAGAGAAAAACACAGTGACACTCTCGAAAGTTTCCGGTTGAACAGACTGCCCGAGCTTCAGTTTATCAGCCACTTGCCTTAATATTCCTTAGACTGTTAGAGAGCTGAGAAACTTACAAGAGCCATATTAGACATGTGCAGTGGAAGATTAGACTGCGCTCAAATTTTGCAACGATGTACGTCGACGTTGCAGTGCAGTAGTACGCCATCGACGGCAGCGCAGCCATAGCAGCGTATCGACTAGTGCGGCCTCCGCTGTCCTGGAGTACTATAGAATGATAGGAGAGTAACAGTTTCTGCGCGACGCAGCGCGTCGAAGCGCATCATCGCGAACTCTGAACGCAGCCTTGAGCTTTTTCAGCAATCACTTTGCAATTAGAAGCATGTGATGTGGTAACATTCCATACTGCCAATGGGATTCATTTCTAGCTGTGATTCGCACACAGCCCCCACTTGACGAGGTGCAGCAAAATTCCTGCATTTCCTGATCTGGTGCGGCCCATTTGTCACCCTACCTAGCATTTCTCAGCATTTCTCGGCATTTGTTCTGAAATTTCTCCGGAAAAAAATGTTATCGAGACTCGGAAAAATTCCTATCATGGCCAGATGCGACTGTCATCAACGAAACACGTGTCCTCTCTCCTTATGGAATTTTTGTAACGATTCTGTTACCTTACCCGGAAGAGGATGTGCGATCATTTTTCTTGACCCCTTTTTTGCAACACACAATAGTCGACTGCTCTCTGTTTGTTCCTCTTTAGTTCTCTCCCTACTTCCACACCACCGAGCCAAAGGAGCTCATAGCGCTAATGCGGTCTAATGTTTAGGGAACTGCTCCAACATATTTTTCAATTTGCCGGCAGAAAGTATCTCTTCATAAAATCTTTTCACAGGCTACTGGAAGGAGAAAAGTCTGCAAATGCCCACCTCACATTCCTGAGACTCGGCAGGCTTGAGTGAGCCCTTTATTGAACACATTGCGGATCACTGTACTGCGCACATATCCGAATAATTCCATTTTTCATCAGTTTTCATTGAAAATTTCCTACCTCTTTTCAACTGTTTATGAAGACCAGGATCTTCCGTAACCGGAAACGTGTTTTGGCAACGTTAGAAAGACAAGTCAAATTAATCGAATAAAACACTGCACAGAGACAAATTTGTGACGCAGCATGTGTGTCACGCAGTCCAGAACATGTTGAACGCGCAGCTTGGTCATTTGTTTAATATTAGGTTGTTCGGAAAGAAATGCGCGTTTGAGTCTAAAAAACTTTTTATTATAAAAACGAAATTAAACAAGATCAATTCAAAAGATAATCTCCATTACTATCAATGATGTTGCCAACGTTTATGCAAAGAATGGATTCCTCTTTCGAAGAACTCGGCCGGCTGCGACTCAAAGTAGTTGGACACCCAGAGTTGGACTTCTTCGCGGTTTGTGAACTTTCTCTCGGCCAGGGAGTGCTGCATCGACCGGAACAGATGGTAATCGGATGGTGCCAGGTCTGGGCTGTATGGCGGATGAGGCAGGACTTCCCAGCCCAATTCCTCAATTTTTTCCAAAGTGATTTTCGCGACATGTGGACGAGCGTTGTCGTGGAGGAATTTTGTCGACGTCGTTTCGACACCTTGACGACGCAGTGCTTGATCCACGCGGTTCAATTGATCTTTGTAGATGTCCGCCGTAACTGTTTGACCCGAATTCAGTAGTTCTTTTTCAGTAGTTTCTTCAGTTCTTGCAACAAGAACATGAGAGCGTCTTTACATAGCATCCGCCCTCCTTATTATCATCACAAATGCAGCATCCCAAAGTGACAATGAAGGCATCCCCCGGCGCACTGGTGAACAGTGGCCATAGTTCTCAGCTAATCTTTTGCAGCAAAATGCTTTCGAAATCACATGTGTTTGAATGGTCCCATCGACTGAACAAATGCTTTCTCCCTAGTAAAATCTCACCTGGGCAACATTCGGTAGAGAAGGAGATCGCTTTTCTTTTTTTCCTCCGTCAACTGTTTCGTTCGTTCTTCTACTTCGCCTTCTAATGTAGAAGCGTATTGCTCAAGCATATTGAACACATAG